ATTTTATTATTCAATCCTGCAAGAACCTGAGCTCAGCCTCTTGTTCCACAGCTAGACCTGAGAGAAAAGCAACATATCGCTAAGTGGTAATTGCTTTTCACACAATTTGGGGGGGGAAAAGATCTATTACAAAATAAGTAAATAGAAATAAGTGTTTTACAGCAATACCAGCATTAGCACTATAGCAATTAATGAATGTTCGACTGATCTCCAAGAGCTACTTGAGCATGCTAATTGAAAACACCCACAGGAAGAAAGTGTTGAAGTAAACCAAAATTAGTCTTTGGCAACAATGCTTTCTTTGTTCACTCTTGAACAGCTGGCGTACTTGAAGGGGTTCATGGAGCTTGTTAAGATATTATCAGTCTCATAGCTACCTGCAGAGTTTTAAGCCAAACTACCCTGCCCTTCTAACAAGAAAAAATGTAGGCTGAGATCCTGCAAAGACATAGCTATGATATCATAGCTTCACTGTCTCTCAATCCAGTGCCCCCAAATCCACCTTAAAAGCCAGGCAGCCCTCTGGGCTCTGCTATGAGGGAATCAGGTGCTGGAGGATGGAACATCCATTCTCCTCCTGAGGAAATGCACAGGACAGGATGGGTGATGCCTGGCTCGATAACACTCCATGTGAAAAAGATCTTGGGAGTCTTTGTGGACAACAAGTTGAACATGAACCAGTGGTGTGATGAAGCAGCTAAAAGAGCCAATGGGGTTTTGGGCTGTATTAGAACAAGTTTCTAATACTCTTATTTCTTATAAGGTACTCTTATTTCTTATAAGGTAATGCTCAAGATCCTGCAAGGAAGACTCCAGCAATACATGGAGCGAGAGTTGCCAGATGTTCAAGCTGGGTTTAGAAAAGGCAGAGGAACGAGAGACCAGATTGCCAATATCTGCTGGATAATGGAGAAAGGCAGGAAGTTTCAGAAAAACATCTATTTCTGCTTCATTGACTATTCTAAAGCCTTTGACTGTGTGGATCATAATAAATTGTGGCAAGTTCTTGGTGGATGGGCATCCCAAGCCACCTTGCCTCTCTCCTGAGGAATCTGTACAAGGACCAAGTAGCAACAGTCAGAACTGACCACGGAACAACAGACTGGTTCAAGATTGGGAAAGGCGTACGGCAAGGCTGCATACTCTCACCCAACCTTTTTAACTTGTATGCAGAACACATCATGCTATGTGCGGGGCTGGATGAATGCAAAGCTGGGGTGAAAATTGCTGGAAGAAACATTAACAACCTCAGATATGCAGATGACACCACTCTGATGGCCGAAAGCGAGGAGGAGCTGAGGAGCCTTCTAATCAAGGTGAAAGAAGAAAGCGCAAAAGCTGGGTTGCAGCTAAACATAAAAAAACCAAGATTAGGGCAACAAGAATGATTGACAACTGGGAAATAGAGGGAGAAAACGTGGAGGCCGTGCAAAGATTTTGTATTTCTAGGTGCAAAGGAAAAAGCAAGAGGGACCGACCAAGGGCAAGATGGATGAATGGTATCCTTGAAGTGACTGGATTGACCTTGAAGGAGCTGCGGGTGGTGACGACCGACAGGGAGCTCTGGCATGGGCTGGTCCATGAAGTCACGAAGAGTTGGAAATGACTGAACAAATGAACAAGATATTGCAGGTTTTTTGGCTTGATTTTTTGACAAAAATTTCTATATATATACATGAGAATGTAGGCCACTTAAGATGAATGCTAGGGCATTTTGGCCATTAAAGATTTGTTAAGTGCCGTCAAATCACCTCCAACATACCATGACCCTATTATAGGGTTTTCCTGGTCAGATTTTTTCAGATCACCGTGCTTGCCTTGCCTCTAAAGCAGGACTTCCACAATGTCACCTAATAGGATTCAAATCCTTGTCTTCCAGTGACCTAATCCAGCACTCAAAACACAATACTATCTAGAAACAGTGACCATAAAACCGAGCAGAATGGGCGAGGCTCTGAGCTTGTTTTCCTCCCAGCAATCCTGAAGGTTTCTAGGGCAGGAAGTGTGTGCACAGATGTGTGTGCATGTATGCTTGTGTAATTTCTAAGGGGCCTTGGTAAACTAGGTCTTGTCCTTTCTCAAGTCCTACTTTACTATTAGAAGGAACTCCTTTCTCCAGCAGGAAATGGAACAGCCACTCGCCAGCCAAAACATGACTTCTCCTGTTCCAGCACTGCTTGAGTTGAACTCTACTAAATCTTATAACATCTGGATATCCCAACAGCTAGAGAAAATATGTCTGCTGCCCCATATTAAAAGTGTGTATTTTTATTTTAAACTTGAGACATATGCCTATAAATCTGTGGTAGGAAAATGTGGGTTAGGAGGGCACATTGTTTATTCAGAGAGTTTGGAAGTCCATACCACCAACTTCTCCACATTTATACACGCTTGTACCCAAATGCCCTTTTATGCCCAGAAGAGGCATCTTTTAGCAATAGGAAGTGACCTGGAAGTTTTCAAAGTTTTGGGAGCCAGATGACTGAACATAGCCTATAGTATACTTTCTTACTAATTCCTCGGATGAAGACCGTTCACACTCCCAATGCTCCCAATCTCATCAATATCCAGCCCAATCTAATCCCCTAATGCAGGGATGTCAAACTCCTTCTCACTGAGAGCCACAACAACCTTATGTGACATCCTCTGAGGATGCTTGCCATAGATGCAGGCGAAACGTCAGGAGAGAACGCCTCTAGACCATGGCCATATAGCCCGAAAAAACCTACAACAACCCAGTGATTCCGGACATGAAAGCCTTCGACAATACAACCTTATGGTTGCTTTCAAAGGACTAGATGTAATTGTAAGACTGTATAAATGTAACTATGTTGCCCTGGTATTGAAAGCCTCGTGGGCTACAAAATATGACATGGCAGGTTGGATTCAGCTCATGGGCCTTGCATTTAACACGTGTGCCCCAAAGCATTGCCATACCTTATATATTTCCTACATATCTGTGACCTTTTGATTCTCCAACTCCTACCCTCCCCAGCTGTAAAATACTCTTAATTGGTAAGAACTCTTAATTGGTAAGAACTCCTCGGATGAAGGATTTTCCTTGCCCTCCACCACAAATGAGATCCTTTTGTGTGTACTTTTAAGTCACCTGTTGATTTCTGGAGACCCCATGAATTTCAAAAGGTTGTCTCAGGCAAGGCATTCGCAGAGGTGGTTTTGACACGTTCTTGCTTCGAAATACAACCAGGAGTGCCTGGTTCATTGGTTGGTCTCCCATCCAAGTACGAAACAGGGTCGACTCTGTTTTGCTTCCAAGATCTGATAGGACCTGGTTCCTTGTTCTGCACATCTTTCTTCACTATGTGTCAGATCATCACTATGCCTTTCTTAAAATCCCTACACAACCTTCTTTCCTTTTTTCTTCTTTTGGGCAAGGCCTGTGATTTACTTCTTTTTATAATTCCCAAATCTAAGCAAATATGTGCATTTGTTTATTTTCTGTCCATACCCCTGACCTCAGTCTATTTGTCTGCTGATCTACAAATAGCTCCAAGTTGTCTATCTATAACTGTGGTACTTTGAGTTGTTGTCTGTAAACTCACACAACACATGGATCATTCTGTGCCTGTGCAAAGATCTTGGGAAGCTTCTTGAGCTGCTTTTTCGTGATAACCTCACCCAAAGGCACCCTTTCATCAAAACACTCCAAATTTGCCATCATGGGACCTAGAGAAAGGAATGGCATGAAGCTGGGGAGAGGCCACGTTGTATGCCTTCCCAGATGGCTACGTGAAGAAAAGCTACCCTCAGCTTGACAATGAAGACCTATGGCCTCTGGTCCCAGCCTACACAACAAGCCAAGATTAAGCTTATTGGTTCAAGCTGTAGCTAATTAAACAGGTTCTTAACTTTGTCTACTCTCCAGAATTCCTCATTTTTATAGGGACAAGTTGGACTCTCCTCCCAATGGTATTATTCACCTTCATCATTCCCCGGTGCTTCCCACCTTCACATAATACTCATCTTTCTTTCTGCTTATTGTTGTTTATTCGTTCAGTCGCTTCCGACTCTTTGTGACCTCATGGACCAGCCCACGCCAGGGCTCCCTGATGGCCGTCACCACCCCCAGCTCCTTCAAGGTCAAGCCAGTCACTACAAGGATACCATCCATCCACCTTGCCCTTGGTCGGCCCCTCTTTCTTTTTCCTTCCATTTTTCCCAGCATCATTTTTGCTTATGCAACTGCAAAAACAACATCCACTAATTGTACCATTTAATTAAACAAGGAGAGTAGCCATTATTATTTAAATTAGTGACATTATCAGGAGATTCCATCTGAACATGAGGAAGATCTTCCTGAATGTGAGAGCCGTTCAGCAGTGGAACTCTCTGCCCCGGAGTGTGGTGGAGGCTCCTTCTTTGGAAGCTTTCAAACAGAGGCTGGATGGCCATCTGTCGGGGGTGATTTGAATGCAATATTCCTGCTTCTTGGCAGGGGGATGGACTGGATGGCCCATGAGGTCTCTTCCAACTCTTTGATTCTATGATTATTTCTTTGAAAGCAGGCTTCTACATGACAACCCTCTTAAATGGGAACTATCTCTGTATTTAACACAGTAGTTCCAAACCTTTTTAACTAGGGACCACTTTGACCAGGGACCACTCTCCAACATTAGTACCTAAAGGGTTACAAATCAGTTTTTGGTCAGCTTTAGATTCAGTTTGGTTATTTGGGATGCTGATTCAGAAAAAAGTATTGGATAGACCACATCAGCTCTAGTTTCTGATACAGAACATACTCCATCCATGCCCACAGAAAACCATAATTAAGAAGCCTCAGCACTGTAAGAGGGTTTTGCGAAACCAGTCACTCTTGTTGCAACGGTGTAGTAAAGGTGAGGCCGCAGACCACATTTTTGTTCTTGCAGACCACTGGTGGTCCATGGACCACAGGTTGGGAACCACTGATTTAACACAATCATAAAAAGTGCCAGAAAAGGATAAACCATGAAAACATCAAAATCAAGACAATATTCAAGTTAATGGAAACAAGTCTTTATTAAGTAACTTTTAATATCAGAAAAATAAAACTCTTATAATTCTCTTTACAGCAAATATATAATATCAGTGCTTTGGCCATCATAAGTTAAAGGCCCTTTATCATAAAATATATGTTTTTTTAAACTTTACTCAAATTGAATTTATAATCCCTATGACCTCCCTACATATACATAACAAAAAGAGTGTAGTAAAATTAGCAAATACTAAACTATATTGAGAGCTTTGTCATTCTTGAGTCTGTGGTTTATAGAAACAGTACACGCACCTAATGTATGTCGACTCCTTGGCTTATTAGTTGCAGTGTACAATGCAAGAGAATACAAAATACATGCTTGGTGAACAAGATTGTTCATATCTACAAGACTGCAGCTAAAGATTAAGGATTCAATACTGACATTTAAACTATCCTACAAGCTGTTAGCGTTAAAGTTATGCATCTCATAATGTAATAATAATAATAATATAATAATAATATGCCATCAAGGCAACTTTTATACTGAAAAAAATCATAAAATAAAAACCGTTATCTGTAAACTTTTTTTATACGAAATGTAACTCTTTCAAGTGGAAATAAAAAATAAAGATTTCTGTATATTTACTAGTTCAATACACATAGTTTGCTATACTGAGAAAAAAATCTGTTGCAGCTCAGGAAATATTGCTCAAAAAAAAAAAGAGAGAGACAGAGAGAGAAATAAAAAAATAAATCCATCAGAACTTCTGAGTGTTCTTTTTTTTTTTCAAATGCCAGCACAGATTTGGGAACATTCTGAGGATGAAGTAGTGAGAAACATCCACAGGTTGAAATGCAAAGAAAACAAACACAAAGAAAACAACTAAGAGAGAAGCACATTTTCTTTTCTTTTCCTTGACATGGGGAAGTGTGGGTTTGAAATGAGAAAACCGCTTTCTTTCATTTGTTTTGCTGGGTCACTATCACTGCTTGCTTTCGTGAATTGATATAAGAGAGCGGATGCGACTCCCCCCCCCCCCCCCCCCCACTTTATATTACTAGAAATAAAATACATGCTTCACATAATGTGCAAATAAGGTTGAAACGAGGAAAAAAATGATTCACATTTTCAAACTTGGATATTCTCTAAAATAGTTAATTTAAGAACAGCTTGATCAAGCTAGCCAATGGAATGTTAGCATCCTAGCTATCGGTTGCAATGAGGGCAAGACCTCAATGGCTCCCCCTCCCCGTGACCCAATATGGCACATGAGCCATCAAAGCCATTTTGGGGGGCGGGTGGGATGGAGTCAGGAGCCCTCGAAGGCTGCACTCGTCAGCATGGGGACCCCACAGCTCTCTACGACACAAACCGCATGCATGATACTCCTCGACACAAGACAGAAGGCCCCCTACTCTTCTACATAGGGTGCCCATCCCGAAAGAGGGCTTGATGTAAAGATTGGCTCCCTTCTCTTAAACGAATGTCAAAGCCATTTCTAGTAGGGAAACTTGGTGGATGTGTTGGAGCGGGCCTGCATTTTTTCCCCCTACATTTCAGCAACGGAAGACCAACAACATTCCTGATTTGTTTTCAAGATGCCCTCTTTGCATTCTGGATGAGAAGGGAGCCAAGTCCTACCATCCCGCCCTCCCCATCCCCTCTGAACAATGATCTATCTCTTGCTAATAAAAATCACCAGTATGCTACTCGTCGAATGCCAGCAAATCAATTTGTGCATCAAAAAAATTAATTGCAACGTTAGATAAGTTAAGCCTATGTTGTAAAGAGGGAAAAAAAGTTGCCCCCAAACCTGTTTGAAAAACTGGCAGTGTAAAGAAGGCAGCATTGGAAGTGTGTTTGATACATTGATAATCCTTTTTTGTACCCTTCCCCCCCTTAACTAACTGTTTCTGCATCCGGGGCTGTACCAGGCTTTACACCATCAACACCATTAATGCCAAGACATAGTCAAGATCATGCGCTATCCTGTTCTGAAACTGACCAAAGTTCCTGCCATTTCTACCGCTTCACAGCTCTCTTCTGGAAGAATTTTGCTATAGATGCCACAGTTGCAACCAAAATGGAGAAAGATTGGCTAGGCTTAGTAATTAATTGTACAAGCCTTTCTGAAAAAGAGTACATGCCTTTCAAACAAGGTTAGCCTAATCCCAAGAAAGCCCAATAACAGTCTGAGTTCATTATAAGTTTACTTGGGGGGTACCATTACATCCAAGCCATTAAGAGTTTAAAAAGTCCATATATAATATCTCTATATATTTAAGAGTGAATTTGAATTGCCTGAGTAACAGCTGTCTGGCAAACTGGACATGATGGTGCTTCCTTTTCACAGATCTTGTTGGCACATTCCATGCAGAAGAGGTTGTGGCCACACGGAACCAGGGCAGCGATTACTTCATTCTCAAAGCATATCACACAGTCGTGCTTTCGCCTCAACTCTGGGGGAGAACTAGACGTGGAGCCGCCGTTGGAAGAAGAGTAGCTGTTGGTACCATTGGAAAAAGCAGGGATGTAGATGGGAAGGCCAACTTGACCAACTGTACTGGGTGGGTCGCTCCTTACTCTCCTCGCCAGCGGATGCTCTAAGGTTTCGGGAAATGTGGGTGACAGACGAGGAGTGGATGGCTGACTCCCTCTCCGTGGAGTCTTCGCGTTGCTAGCAGGTTCACTACCGAAAGTGGAGAGTGGATTCACCGGTTCGAAGGGGGTCCAGATGGTTTGTGATGGTGTTGGCAAGGAGTCGTATGCGGGAGAGTCGACTGCGAGATCCTCTGCGCCCACAGAAGGTGGCAACGTTTCACCAAACCAAAAGTTGCCTGTGCTGAATGGACTAGTGGGGCTGAAGTCAGCCAGCCTATTGCTTCCAAAGTAGGAATCAGTAGACCCACTTCCTAAAGAACTGGAACTGTCATTTCTGTAATTTGAAATCATTCTGGCACGGCTTGGAGGAGGTACCGGGTTGGAAGTAAGCCAGGCGGATCCCAAATTCCCTCCTTCAAAGCTGACATCTGTACCATTGTAATGGAAATCATTTTCTTCGTTCAGTTCGATGTAGTTTCCAGTGCGCATGGCAATGTGCATTTCTATTTCTTCTCGAGCACGATCGACGTTTTCAGGCATGCCGGTAACCTCAAAGACTGGCTCCTTGTCTCTACTGGGAGTAACTATGTAGGTATGAGTCTGCTGCTGAATTCTTTTGATCGTAGCGCCTTTTGGGCCTACCACCAGCCCGACAACACGGTAAGGCACCCTGACTTGGACTGTTGTTTGGCCGGGCAGGTTGGGGTTACAAGGCAGCCCGCCCAGAGCAGGGCCATTTTTGTTGCGTGAAGCTCTTATCATGGAGAAGTGTTCAGCAGCAGAAAGAATTTCCCTTTTGGCCATGGCTACATCTTCCTTCCGTCCCGTGACCACAAAAATAGGCTCTTCTCCACGAACAGGGGTCTTGATGTAGGTATTTGTCTTGGCTCGCAATGCCTTTATTTTACAACCTGCATTGTAAAAAAAGAACAAACAAACAAACAAAAAAGGAAAATTAGTACAGAAAAAAAGATGAAGGGACAACCCCCCTTAGCCCTCGAAAGGCTTTCAGCTACACTCCCTAATACCATCAGACAAGTGAAACTGATATTCTTTAACTGGCAAATCACCCTGATGCACTCAGACCATACATCTACCCAGTGACTGCTCTTGAAAACATCTTTTAAGTCAATATTACAAATTAATCTGTTCACTGACGTCTTTAGACCTCTTTCTGACCACACAAACCTATGCTAATCACTTCACTTTTGAAAGCTAAAGAAAGTCAGATTTTGATTTGGTTCCTTGCCACTTCACAGACTAGAGATTGTTTTCAAACCTCTTCTGAAGCAGAAGTTTCTGAATCCTGACAGCTCATGTAGGTGAGAGAATCAACCCATTCCAGTATTTGTTGTTGTGCACCGTCACAATTTCTAATTAATGATAATCGTAAGGTAAACCCATCACAGGATTTTCTTGCCAAGATTTGTTCAGAAAGGGTTTCCCTTTGCCCTCCTCTGAGCCTGAGAGCTCAGATTTGCCCAATATCTGCCAGTGGTTTCCATGGCTGAACTGTGAGGATTCACATCCTGGCCACTTAGGAGCCCCAGTTCAACCACCACATTATACTGACACTTGTTCATTTAAATTAATTTTAAATAGTTAGCTTGCTCATTGAAGGGCAAAATGCAGGTCTAAAGATACATACAGATTTTCAACACTTTTTTTTTGCAGTTCTTTTGTATCCTTTGGTAAAAAAGAGGTGAATTGCTTTGGAAATCTCTCAAATTGGCAATTCTACTTTTAGTAAACTGTAGGGATGACGTAGATATTTGAACTGGATCGAGATTGTGTAATAGCTGGTCTACTTTAACCTTCGTTTTTAACTTTTGTGGCATGAAGTTTTACCTTGGCATTTTAATGATTATATTTTTAATTACTTTTAACTTAACCAAGTCCTAATTGTGTTTTAATGTATGCTAGTTCACTATTACAGGAGTTTTAGGATAGTGATTAGTGTCTATTTGTGTACTTTTTGGGTTTTTTGTCTTTTACTGTTGATATAGTCAGAGGACTAATCAAGAAACTTGGCCTAATGCCTTCCCCATATAGTACTTAGTAAAGAATGAAACCTAGTGATCATAAGGTGGGAAAAGGGATGTTTTTTACCAATTCAAAACAAAAAGATTAAAATGCAATGCAACTACACCCAACCTAACCTACTTGCAAAATTTCAGAAAGCATTGAGGTTCACCCAGTTCATTCAATCTCTGGAGTACCAAGATAAACCTTACTTATTATAGAAACTAATGGAGCCTCCAAATAAGGTGACACTTCAACCTGGATCAAGTCAGGTGATGGTTATAATAAGGAGAGTTATCCTCCAGGAGACACTTTCTCACATGTTAGTGTACAAGCCTTCATACCTATTGACTTATGGTGACCCCATGAATTCCACAGGGGTTTCTTAGAGAGGATACTCATGGTTTTGCCAGTTCTTTCTTCTGAAATGTAGCCTATAGCACCTGACATTCATTGGTTGGCTTCCATTCAAGTACTAACTTGGGCTCATCCTGCTTAGCATCCAAAATTAGGTGAGATCTAGTGTCTCATACAGTCAGGTATTCTAGCATAGAGCCATCAATCACAGATTAGGCATAGGAATATACTAATGCAGTGCTGCAGTATTCAGGCAAGACTAATATAATTATCCAAACAAATACAAATCAAACAGTGATGTTCTTGAATCCACATCGATGATTTTTTATTTCATCTAGAATGATTTCATTTGTTTAGATTTAATTCCAGGTACTTTATGTACAACATGATTGTTGCAAATTGCTGGTGCCCTCTGGTCTAACTTTCAACTTTCTTCAAATTATACTTGAACCCTGTAGCATATGGAAATCAATAAGACCGAATAAACAGATTCAGTGCCTTGAGTATTTTTTGGTTAGTTGAACAATCATTCAGCTAAATAATCTTTCAGAAGAATGTGCAATTAACAGATAACTTATCAGTTTGAAAAAGTAATTTCCCAGCTAAAAACACTAAAAAGTTATTACTCAAAAATCACTAGGACTTAATAAATGAAGAATGTAATCAAGTTTAAAGTTTCACAGTTAAACAAAATTATTGTGTAGAGTTGATTTATGCTAGCAGACGGATACGACTTTCTAATCAATGGACTCAAAATGTCAATTTCTATTGCTGTAAGGCAAAATCATTTTTAAAGTTCTATTTAACTGGCATTTAAATCCTTTAAAATTATACAAAACAAACAGACTAATAATAGATTCCTGCTGGAGACGTGCTTAATCCAAACCAGATGGCTTCTCTAAGTGGTGATTTATCAAAACTCAGTGTACTGGAAGAAACTGAAGTCATAGGAATGACTTCAAATGTGCTACAATTATAAACACCAAGATTTCTGCTAGGATAAGGATAAAATATGAGTTGAAAAGCAGTAACTGGCAGGCTAGACCTACGACTTCAACTGAGGAGGGCATAAGATATAAAACATAAAATGTCCACAGAGAATTACTGGCTGAAAAGAGTACGAGGCATGTTCTATACATGACAAAGTTTGTACAGTTAGTTTGAAGTATATAGACTATGGACAACGAGTTATTGTTCCAGGAGGTTTTATTTTAAGATGGAAATGTGTCACAGGGTTTTAATTTCCAAGGTAAAATCTTTAAAATGAAATTAAGATCCTTTTTATTGTTTTGTTATCCCCACTCCAGTTACTTTTTTCTAACTGAAAATTTCAAAAGAATAAAGTATTGAAACAAACCATTCTTCCGATCCTTTTAAAGATGTTTCCATCTTATAGAATCATGGAGTTGGAAGAGACCTCATGGGCCATCCAGTCCAACCTCCTGCCAAGAAGCAGGAAGTTTATGTTAAACTTGTGGCCTGAAAACATCTCTAGTCACTGGGCCCATTTGTCTACATAGTATAGTCCTATCATTTTGTACTTTCCCAAGACTTTGGGATGACAGTGATCAGTCATTTTCCTTTAGCAGGAATGTACGAGTTCAGTCATCCTCCACTTTTGCGAATGTGATTATTTGTGGATTATTTGCCGCCTCCTCTGTTGCTGTCTCACACCATTTTAATAGGGATTGCATACCTTGCAAGATTGAGAGGGGCTTTGAGAGACTGAGGGAAACCTGAAATGCACAATGAGGCTTGTACATCCCTATGAAAAAATGGCACAGGGCAGCAGCAATGGCCCATCTTTCCACAGTCCATCAACACCCCAGTTATTTGCGGTATTTCCACTTTCACGGGGAGACTGTGCCCCTAATCCCCATAAAAATTGAGGGCCAACTATACTAGAAACCAAACTGTTCGTATATACATTGAGACCAGTTTGACCAACAAAGCCTTATTCTTTGATCCAGTGATGTCCCTAGCACAGGTAATTTAGGAAAACCATTATTTGCCCATCCCACTAAGCACTGAAATCCTGAAGTTGAAGATCTAGAAATGTGGGCTTGGTCACATTAAGTATATAGGCACTTTCTGTCTCAAGAGAAATCTTCTCTACCACCTTGATCTTAGTTTCACTAATGGCTTTAGCAGCCCAGCAGCGTTAAAAGAGCATCATAGCTACTAGAAAGGAAGTCACACTGTTAACTGGTATATATAACTTTATCTTTCAACCCCCCTAAAATGTAACTGATTCTATAGAAAGGAGTGGGCAATTTCAATAACAATTCTGTAAAACTCTACAGTAGAAGCAACATGCTGTGTCCTATTGGTGAAACCACCTCTCATGTGAAAAAATAAATTCTGCCAGATGGGAGCAACTATTGAAAAAGAGACACTTAAATAGCCAACTGACTTCCTTTGAATTCCCACTCATTTTTTTTTAGGCCCAAACAGGAGGAAGAACTGACTTTGCCTTGTGCTGAATTTCAGAGCTTGGAAAAGACTACTTTAGCCTTTCTAAGTTCTACCTGACCGAAAATATCCCCTTTAGCAGACCCTCCTAGCCCTTCAATTTCTCACCGGAAGGAACTGTAGGTGTTTCAGAAGCTCTCATAACAATGCCAAGTCTATTAGATTAGGGTGTTGTGACAAAAGCCAATACAGCTGGCCCAATAAGCAGATTTTTGTTTAAAAAAAATAAAAATTGTGGTTCTGAAAAGAAAGCTGACTCTACAAACCTCAAGGTCAATGTCTCCTCTGTTATTTAGAGACAGAATCACCATCAAAGAAAGCCGCAGCCTGTGACACCTGAAACTCCCCAATGCGTCATCAATCAATGTTAAGTGAGTTTAGTTTGTAAGGAACCAGTGGCAAAGCACGGTCGCAATAGACTACTGTATATACAGCCTGGGCAAAACAAAGGCTATTAATTTTCTTATGCAGTTTCACTGAGTGACCTTCATGTTTGTTTGTTTTTTTAACTCTAATCTGTTGGGCTTCCTTGAGCTTCTTATTAATTACTTCTTTGATATGCACCATCATAACATGCCATCAAACAGTCTGATAAGACATTAAATGATGATGAGTCACATGCACGTCTATGATGTTTTCCAGTTTTGGTGTAACACTGGATGTGGAAGCACAAGGCTATAATGAGGGAAACTTGGAGCTCCCACACATTGTTTCCAGGTCTCTGGACATGTGAGAAATCATCACATGCAGAAGGCATAATGAGAGAACGGGCAGAACTTGGAAATCATGAAACAGCTCAGCTACACAGCACATTGCCAATTTGTTATTAAAATGTCATCTCTAAAATTCTTAAATGTATGTTAAAATATACATAATTCACGAGAATGGATTAAAGTATAATTTGCAGATATCCCAAGAGCCATTTAGCTCAACCCTCTGCCAGTGAAGAAATACTCAGCTAAAACCCCCCTAAGAGGAGGGCATCTAGCAGAACAGAGTGAGAACTACTATTCCCCACTCCATCTAAGTTCTGATGATGCAGTCAAAAATCACATTAGCT